GATGAATAATTCACGCTTTCAAAATATATATCTTCCGTAGGCTAAAAGAAACAGTTGTGGCATTAGATTTGGTAGCAGACGGGTGGGGAAGATTCTTGTTGATCATCATTTTTGCGTCCTGACTGGACGATCGTCGGTCCTGCCTTTATTTTTTGTTCTCAATGGGCACAACTCGAAAATTCAGGCAAGAATTATAGTAGATTTTGGATTTGCGCTCAGTGGGTGTGTTTCACTTTTGATTGTTTCCTTGTGGCCCAGTCGACTCAATCGCAACTGTTGTAGATCTTAGATCTAGAAAATCTAGATATCTAGACTGTCTAGGAATATTTAAACCGAAGGTGTAGTGTAGGCCGGCATCCAAACAAAATTAACTTATCAAGCCCCTAGTCCTAGCCATAGTCTAAGTCAGCCTTAATGTTTAAAGTGACTCCAAATCCAGTACCATCAGTAGTAGATCTAGATCTATCTCAATCCTCACATCGGTATTATAAACGGCTTCCATTATAAACATTTAACTGCTCTCATATTGCTCAGATACTGTTTACAGCACTTTTCTTGTTCATTTTTAGACCGAGAACAAGATCTAGATCTAGATCTAGTCTATCTAACTCAAATTCCAACTTTATATCCATAGCAAATCATTAGATTTTGAAGTATTTGATGGTTTTTTAATTGAACAAACTATAGTATATAACATGTAGCCTAAACATTTTTGTATTTGTATCGTAATATAATCTAGTCCATTCAAATGGTTTCAAGGGGAATGGCCCCACTGAGGTGAACAAAATTTGGGAGGGGTGGTCCCACCCCCATCAGCCATGTTTCCACATAATTTGATATTTTGCAATTTGGTTTGAAGTTACCTTAAGAACAACTGATTTGCGATGGTTTTAAAATTTAGTGGCCATGTTTTTCTGCCGCCAAAAATATGGTGGTTTGACCCTCAAAAGCTGTGTATCCATTCTGGAGTGAAAATAGAAATTAACCCTCGTGTGAATAACCCTGCCTTAACACTCACTAACTCTTAAATTCATGTAATATGGTATTTTTTTACTTTCCCTCCCGTCTCACACTCAGCTACCAGATGCCTATTTTCTACTAAATATTGATGCGCTGAACACGAATATCAACTTCATTTCCGTCGCAAATTAATAGTTTTTTAAATATTTGATTGTTTTTAACCAAGATAGACATGCTTTGGACCAATCGGGGGGTTC